TTCTGGAGTTGCGCTATCTTCAGCTGGTGCCTACTAAGTACTGTACCGGTAGTCTATCTATTGAGTATTCCGTAGTGTTGTGTCTCTAGCCGCGCGGATCTATCAACTCTCCGATCGCCTGTATGGATCCCCCTCCCAGATAGCCTTCTAACCTCAAAACGCGTCCAGCCTCATTCAGCATCATCGATAATACACCTGCTAGGTATTTCGCTTGCTCAATGTTTTCACCGAAAATTAGGCCCAATGCACAAAGTACGCGATACGCCGATGTATCGAAGAGATGTTGCGAATTGGGAAGTGGAACGGTGGCAGCTCACTAGCTATGGGGCACTAGCCACACAACCTGCAATCTGTCAGGTATCCGTTGAAACAAGGTTGATCTACCTGCTGTGTCTACTGAACTAAAAAGAAAAAAAGAGAAAAGAAAAAGGAAAAGTTCCTGTGGCCGCATGCGAGCTGCTGCGGCGTTCTCTGCCGCCCGCTCGGGGAATCTGTGTTCTGCAGCAGATCATCGAAGCAGAGAAAGAGGACATGTGTACCGGATGGGGTAAATAAAGCCATGGAAGATCGACCGATCTGCTGTGAAACCCAAAAGGTAAATAAAATAGGTAGGTAGTACATACGTTGGTTTGGTAGTTTGAGTAGTAGAAGAGGTCTGTTCGCCATTGGGAGGGAGCTACCTTGCAGAAGGCCAGGGGGGCGCGGTGGTGGGATCGCGACCGATGCAGGGAGGATGATGGAATCGGTATGCTAGTAAGGTTTGGTTATACTGCAGAAGCAGCGATTGGAATTATCACAATCGGACTCTTTGGTGTGGGTTGCTAGTTTGGTATGTCGCATGGATGGCGAACACCATGTTTTAACATCCGCTATCATCAGCATAGCACAGCACTCGTGCAAAAGTACCTCTTTGTTGATCTGATCTACCGGATCTATCGCCTTCGCTTTTGTCGCTGCCTGTGTCTCGCTCGATGGGGATGATGGATACGCGGACCTGATAGACACGTTCTCCTTCACAGTGCAAGAGCACCTGTCAATTGAGTCAACTGACAACAGTGCCAGGTAGATCCCTGGGGAATGCTTCCCGTTCATGTCAAACCAAGGCCACCCTTCTTTTCTGCTCTGGACTTACGGTCTAGTTTCAAGGATGAACCCATTCGGGCGAGATTGGAGGAGTAAATTTGCAATGGAGTTTGAGTTAGATTACTTACATACGGTATCAATCACCTACGGGGTAGTCCTCTGCTCGTTCGACACCCGATGGGGCAAGGATGTGTTCGCCTTCTCCCTTTCTGGGTGGATCAGGGGTCGTAAGACCGACGGTAATGAATCGATAACCCTACCTCCAAGAAATCCGCGGAATCGCAGCCGGAGGGATTAGCGTCTCTGCAGTCACGGGATGGCGTTCTAGAAGAGGGAACTGATCGGTCGGCTCATTACGAACCGGTCTGAATTGCCAGCCTGGTCCTCAATTACGGGCACTTTCTTTGCTTTTTCTCTGCCTGTTTCTTCTTTTGCCCTTTGATCATCATTATCATTATCCATCAACAGCATCATCTCGATTTGCTCCAATTCCCCATTCCTCATTCCACCACACTACCTACCGAAATGTGTCAATGGTTCGCTGGGGTCGTCCTTCTTGTTTCCCCAGTCCAGACTAACGCATCCACCCGCCACACTGGAACCTCGACCCATTCATTCCCTCCCTCCCTTCCTTTCCCCGTCCCGAGCCAGCCCCGATTTCAGTGCCCGTTCTTGGGGGCACCTTAGGGGTACTCTCTCTCTCTCGGAGACATATTGATGATGTGCGGAGCAGGGTAGATGCACCGGCAATCCACCAGCCAGTATAGCTAGTTCACCGGTTATTTTAGTACTGGAACTCATTTGATCTATTGAGTTGGTCGGTACTCCGTACAGTCCACTAACTAATCAGCACACCCGGTTTCTTGCTTTTGATCGCCGTTGTCTCCCTCCCCTTCCCCCCATTCCCCAGTCTTTCCCCCTCCCTCCCCCTCCTCCTCCCCAGCCTCACAGCACACACAGACAGTAAGAAAGGCCGCCGCCGCCCGGGTCTCCCCCGTTCGCCCGCTCCTGGAGGATCTACTGCGTTTCCCGGTTCGGGGAGATGATCTACGTGTTGCCCTCAGCGTCGGGCCGGCTTTTTATTTTTCTGGAATATAGCATCCACACAGCAGATGTAAATCACTTTTTCGGGAATGATAGGTCTCATGACGGGGAATTTCTCTTGTCCCCTTCCCGTCCCGTAGGCAGCTCCAAAAGAGAGAAGGAAGGGGGGGGGGGGGGGGGGGGCGACAGCCACTGTTTACGCCTTTCTCAGCTTGAAATCGTGATCTAGAGGGAATAGGGGGGCGAAGAACAAAGAAGAGGAAGATTCTGGAAGAGATTGATATTTTTACAGTGAAGCATGAGCCCACGCTTGGTGTCTGCCTCTCGTTCATTGAGGATAGTTATTGTTAGTGTGGTTTATGATGGATGAAAGGAAAAGCAAGATGCCTGGACCAGCCCAGGACAGGTAGATGCTGGCTGGGCATGAGTCGAGTGGGAGATAACATTACATGTAAACCTCTTTTGTCCGTCGTACTCAACCCCAGTCAGCTCGATAGGTACTGTAGCCGTGATACTGCGCCTATCCAATCAGACAAGCTTACTCGCCACAGGGTCTAAATTACTGACTCAGTTCCTGGTCTTTTGAGAGGGAGTAAGCCCTTGGGCTGAACTGACTAACTAACCAAATTGTTACCCATGTCTCTCCAACGGAGAACTTGCGTCTAACTTATTCATAGCGTCGAGCCTGGATTACTACTACCTACCTATTAACCACAAAAACAACAAGCCCGCCCTCTGTCATTCTTTCTTTGGGAATACTCTAATTTGCCAGAAGCAATGCACAAGTTCTAGACTCTTTCCAGAGATTCAATCTGATCTTCCGCTGCAGGGTTCTCACTAACCAGTGGTCCAGGGGGTTTTTACCGGTACATTAACAGAGGAGGGAGGTGTTGATGGCAATCGTGCAGATTTAGGTTGTGGTCAATTTTTTATCTAATGCATAACTGTACTGATACACACACACACAGGTCAATGTACACATCAGTATATCAGGAGCAAGGGCCTCCAGTAAATCAATCTGACAATTGAATCAGCGCCAGCGCCACGAAAGGGGGGGGGGGGGAGGTAAAGTAAAATCGCGCATATCTCTCTATTTTCCTGCTTACCGTCCTATCAACCATATCATTTCCTTCCCACGACTCAGTCCGACTCAATGCAAGGGGAGCGAATTGCAATGAGGGATTTTAACGACCTCATCTCTACTGTGAGTGTTATTATGAATGGGTGGATTGTTTTTCCAACCCATCGAGGCATATCCATATCTCTCTGTACCGGTATCCATCTATCTACCTATCTATCAACTAACCAAGCATGCAATCGATCAATCATTCGTTCGATACCCGAATTGTTTGGTCAAGTTCCTAAGTTCCTCGGTAAGCTAAACATTCCTGACAGGTAGCCAGGGAAGGATGGGATACACTCCCAAACCCAAATCGTGATCATCGCATCCCGGTACGTTACCGATGGATCTACCGCGCTGTCTTCCCTTCACTACCGTAGATGCCTTTCCCCTTCCCCTACCGCGGTGGAGCTGGAGCTGGAGCTGGAGCTGGGATTTGGCCTCTTCTCTTTTTTTTTCTTTTCTGTGTCTGTGGGCTACCATATCTACAGCCTGAATCTACCCGTAGCCGTAGGCCGTAATGTTATTCGTCCGGATGGGACGTTCCCCGTTCCAATCTTCCTTGTCAACTGAACTCAGGGCTCAAGTTGGTAAGTAAGTTCTCGGGGGGAAGTCCGGGTTTGAACGGTTTGTGGGAGGATAGGATGCAGTCACAGTACAAGTACAGTTATTCCGTACTGGGTCGCTAGCTTCCCTTACCTACCGTACCTATCTACCCACCTACCCTGTTGATGGGAGTTCCGTTCAATGGTTCGGACTGTGTTCGTCCCGGTCCGATTTTGCTTTTCTTTTTTCTGTTTGGATCTCATCCGGATTCGGGTGTTACTTCAGATGCAGATACTGGGAGGGAAGATGCCGGAGGTGCAGGTGTTTTGAGGGGTGGTGTGGTGTGGTGGTTGTCTTAGGGCAAGGTCACTAGATACATCCTCTGTTGTGTTGGGAGAAGGGCTGAGCTCTTGACTGATTTGCGAGGTACAGTACATCATGGAATTGCTTTTCGGGTGTGCTTTTTTGGGGAAGGGGAACGGAACCAGGGACAGGGCAGTTTGACAGGCGTTCAATTTCGTGAACTTTTAACTAGCTTTCTGCTTGAGTCAGGGTCTCGGTGTTTGTTTGTACAGTAACTTAACTTATTGGCCAGGCCTGGGTTACAGTAGTTAGTGCTTAGTTATGGGGAGGTCTGCTTACGTCCCTGCTTGGTTGCTAGTGTGGATCGGGTATGGTCCGGGAGGTGAGAGGTCTAGACAGCTCGAGCCTAATTTAACCCGTATAACGAAGTCAGTGGGCAGCGTTGGAGCAATACAAATTCTACCAGTCGAGACATACGGATGATAGCCTGACTTGGTTGTTCCGCTTCATCTTCCAACATTACATGGCTGTTGTTGGTGTTTGTTGCCTTTGTCTTGGGCGACCGTCTGCTTTCGCGTTCCTCGCTGTCTCAGACACAGCTCGCGTTTGCTTCCGCATACCTTGCCTGGAAATAAACCTGGCTGATGCTCTGTTGACTCAAAGACCCTGTCTCGCTTGCTGGAAATGAGTGTCTTGAATAATTCCAGGTAATGGAGTTGGTGCTTTGAGTTTCCATGGGCCCAGGCAGGTGTGCTGCTCACGGCTTCGGTAAGTCAGGGGAGGGAGTGGTGGATTTCAATGTCTCAATTGGGCTGAAACAACTATAAGCATCATCATCATTAAGTTATAGGTCATGGCGATTTCGTTCCTCCCTCATATCCATCTCTCCATCCCGGATAAAAAATCACGAGCTGGTGTTCGTGCCGTACTTCTCAACACATCCATGTGCCATCTCGTACTGAAGAATTCAAACCCACGAGTGTTAGCCTCCTATCTTTCCTCCATCGTCCAAGACAGTGGGATACGATTTCACTTACCTGTTCATCGGTCTGGCAAATCAACACCCGCGGTCCCCTGGAACCACCAGCCTTGGAAACATCCACCACCGTCTGGCCCTCGCCCGGGCCCTTGTCGTTGGACGCCTCGTCGATAGCGAAACCGAGACACTCGCATCGCTCGATCACCGCCTTCCGCAGGAGAGCGCTCTTTTCGCCAATGCCTCCCGCAAACACGAGGGCATCGACCTTGCCGCCCAGCTTCAGGTAGTAATTCCCGATGTAGCCGAGGATACGGTCCACGATGATGTCAAACGCGAGCTTGTGGCTGGCGCTCGGGGGGTTCTCGACGGCGATTTGGGAGAAGTCGGTGGTGCCCGTCAGGGCCTTCCACCCGGACTTCTTGTTGAGGATTTCTTCGGCCTAGACGAGGGGGTTAGCTGCGCTGCGCTACGCTTTGAGCAGTGCCCAAAGGACTTGCATACCGTGCTGATGTGCATTTCTTTGGTGCTGGCCGGGCTCAATTTGCCTGCTTCGCTGGTGTAGTGGAATACGAGTCTGGTCACATTATCTCCTTAGCCTTGTTCTGTGCCCCCCAAAGGTTGGTAGGGTTTTCTCTTACGATGGATCAATATCTCCGCTTCGCGTCGCACCCGGCAGTCCCGCCAGAGGAGTCAAGCCCATCCTGCACACGAAGATTAGTGTCTAACTTCAACCGACAATCGAACTGCAAGCGAGGCATCTCTCTTACGTGGTATCGACCGATTTGCCATCCTTGATCGCACACATCGAGGCGCCGCTTCCGACATGCATCGCAATCACGCTTGTCTGCTCGACGGGCTTGTTAAGGAATTCCGCCACCGATCGCAGGATATATGAGTAGCTGATGCCGTGGAAGCCATACTTCCGCAGACCCTTGGATTTGGCGACTTCCGGATCGATGGGGTACGTGCGCACGTGCTCGGGGATCGTCTGGTGGAATGCCGAGTCGAAGAAGGTGATGCTTTTCACGTCGGGGATCTCGGTCCGGCAGTGACGGATGATTTCCAAAGCGGAGAAGTTGTGTCTGTGATCCATTGATGTAAGTTTGGACGGTAGGGACACTAATATCGCACATCAGGCCGGGGAGGGGGGAAGGGTTCTGAAGAACATACAAAGGAGCCAGATCCTCCAATTTCTCCAAATGGTGATAGGTCTCCTCGGTGATCACCACGGAGGAGTCGTAGTCACCCCCGTGGACGACGCGGTGGCAGATGTAGGCCAGATCGTCCTTGCTGCCGACTTCCGACAGTTCCGGGTCGGAGACGCAGCGGTCGAGGAGGAACTTGAAGGCGTCCTGCGGGGTTCCGACGCTTTCCTTGATCTCCTCGGTGTGGTTCTTCTCGCCGCAGGTGTACTTAAGCTTGGCCGGTGGGGCGGTGATGCCGGAGACCTGCGCGGTCGCGATCACCTTGGGGTGCTGCTCGAAAGTATAGAAGGTGAGTTTGACCGAGGAGGAGCCGGCATTGACGGAGAGGATGGATTTGCGGGGCATGGTGAGGGCAATTAAATAAATTATAAGTGCTGAGTAGGATGTGAGAAGGGAGAGGGGAGGGGCTTTCGGTAGGCGGGGTATGTATGTACAAGATGCAAGGAGATCTCTATGTAGCAGTTCGAAGAGTCCGTCAATTTTCCTGGCTAGGCCGGGCCTATAGTTATATGTGACAGTCTAATGATCGAAATCTCGGAGTTGCATTGCCGTATGGGTCCAGTTGCATGTATGATCTTGCAGGTGGGCAGAGCAGTTCTTGGAAGTTGTTCGTAGCTCTAGAAGATTGGTGGGGAGAAAGATAGCGAAAGTGATTGAAAGTGGTTGGGTGATGTCAGAGACCCTTCACCAGGTGACGTAGCGGGAAGCCAAAAAAAAAGGAGCAGGTAGAGTCGGACAGGATACAATGTCAAGTTTGTCAACACTGGGCTTATTTCAAGCTGCATCTCCCCTCTCTCTTGACCTGGTGGTCTGATATTTTTTTCGTACTTTGCCTGTCTTTGTCTAATCGTTTTACCCTGCTGTCCTCCACGTGGGAGTTATCCAATCCCCTCCTATACTTTTACTACTCGCTTCCTACTTTCTCCGTTACCTTATCGCGATAAGCCAAGCCCATCTCCCCTACAGTATCAGCCCATCATGCCGGGAGAAGTCATCGATCGGCCGAACCCCAAGCCGGAACCATCCCACATCCCTGATCTCGTCGAACAGTTGCAGGTCCAACTCCAGACAACTAAGCTAGAGGAATCAGATTACAATGCTTTGCAGAAGTATCGTCGTGCGGCGGCGTACATCGCTGCTGGTAAGCCAGACAGCCAATTTATCACCACCATTGTCACACAAACATAAACTAATGGCTGTGTGTGTTTACAGCCATGATCTTCCTTCAGGATAACGTGCTGCTGAAACGTGGATTGAAGCATGAGGACATCAAGCCTCGACTCCTGGGTGAGTTTACCCTCATACCGGTTCCGCCGGTTCCGTTCCAGAACCACAGCAGCAGCAACAGCAGCAGCAGCAGCTCATACTTCTTCCGCAGGTCACTGGGGTACATGTCCCGGGTTGATCCTGGTGTACTCACATCTGAACTACCTGGTCCGGAAGCAGGATCTGAATATGCTCTACGTGGTTGGACCAGGCCACGGCGCTCCGGCTCTGCTAGCCTCCCTCTGGCTGGAGGGCTCATTGGGCAAATTCTACCCCGAATATTCGCGCAACATGGACGGTCTCCGCCAACTCATTTCGACCTTCAGCACGAGTGCTGGACTTCCTAGGTAACGAGAACGATTTTCTTGCGGTTGAGGTTTGCTCCTGGTAGACATGTTGCTGACTTCGCTTTCCTCCCTTTAAACAGCCATATCAATGCAGAAACTCCCGGTGCGATTCATGAGGGTGGTGAACTGGGTTATGCCCTGGCTGTCTCGTTCGGTGCGGTCATGGATAACCCGGATCTTATTGTCACCTGTGTGGTTGGCGATGGAGAAGCGGAAACCGGTCCGACTGCGACGTAAGTCCTCCCATCCGGTGGTCGTCGTCCGTTGGTTGGCGTAATGCTGATGCTGATGCTGATGATGTTTCAAGCTCGTGGCATGCCATCAAGTACATTGACCCCGCTGAGTCGGGCGCCGTCTTGCCCATCCTCCACGTCAACGGATTCAAGATCAGCGAGCGCACCATCTTCGGGTGCATGGACAACAAGGAACTCATCACTCTTTTCACGGGTTACGGCTACCAAGTCCGCATTGTTGAGAACCTGGAGGATATTGACACCGACCTTCACAACTCTATGGCGTGGGCGGTTGATGAGATCCACAAGATCCAGAACGCTGCACGTTCGGGCAAGCCAATCATGAAGCCTCGTTGGCCGATGCTTGTGCTGCGGACACCAAAGGTAGGTTCTTATGTAGCCATCATCTGATAATTGGGGAAAGCTAATTTGTAATCTCGAAGGGCTGGTCTGGACCCAAGGAGCTTCATGGAACGTTCATCGAAGGTTCATTCCATTCGCACCAGGTGCCTCTCCCCAACGCGAAGAAAGACGAGGAGGAGCTTGCTGCTCTGGAGAAGTGGCTTTCTGCTTACGGTCCGAACGAGCTGTTCACCGAAGGTGGTGATATCATCGATGAGATCAAGTCCGTGATTCCTGCAGACGACGAAAAGAAGCTGGGCCAGCGAGCCGAGGCCTACAAGGGGTACATGGCACCGGAGCTCCCCGACTGGAAGGAGCTAGGCGTGGAAAAGGGCACCCAAGAAAGTGCTATGAAGGCGAGTGGCAGATTGATCGACCAAGTGTTCACCAAGAACCCACACAGTGTCCGACTGTTCTCTCCGGATGAGCTGGAAAGTAACAAGCTCGACGCTGCTCTGTCGCACACCGGAAGAAACTTTCAATGGGATCAGTTCTCAAACGCCAAAGGGGGTCGCGTCATCGAGGTGCTGAGTGAACATCTGTGCCAGGGCTTCATGCAAGGTTACACCTTGACCGGCCGCACTGGTATCTTCCCATCCTACGAGAGTTTCCTGGGCATCATCCACACGATGATGGTACAGTATGCCAAGTTCAACAAGATGGTGAGTTGACTCAAGCCCTCCCCTGTCTGTTGCCTGTTGGTACTGATCTTAGTAGGCTCAAGAGACGTCCTGGCACAGCCCTGTGAGCAGTCTCAATTACATCGAGACTAGCACTTGGGCCCGGCAGGAGCACAATGGATTTTCTCACCAGAACCCATCCTTCATTGGTGCAGTCCTCAAGCTGAAGCCCACGGCCGCCCGCGTGTACCTGCCACCTGATGCCAACACTTTCCTATCCACGCTGCACCATTGTCTCAAGTCCAAGAATTACATCAACCTGATGGTGGGCTCCAAGCAGCCGACTCCGGTGTACCTCAGCCCGGAGGAGGCAGAGAACCACTGCAGAGCGGGTGCGTCGATCTGGAAGTTCTGCAGCACTGATGGGGGTCTGGACCCTGATGTTGTGCTTGTCGGCATCGGCGTCGAGGTGATGTTTGAAGTCATCGCTGCAGCGGCTATCCTCCGCAAGCGTTGCCCCGAACTCCGAGTCCGGGTTGTGAACGTGACGGACCTGTTGATCCTTGAGAACCACGGGCAGCACCCGCATGCTCTGACGACGGAAGCCTTCGACAGCCTGTTTGGATCCGACCGACCCATTCACATCAACTACCACGGATACCCGACCGAGCTGAAGGGGCTGCTCTTCGGCCGGCCTGGTCTGGACCGGGTCACCATCGAAGGATATATGGAAGAAGGCAGTACCACGACTCCGTTCGACATGATGCTGTTGAACCACGTTTCACGTTACCACGTGGCGCAGGCAGCTGTCATCGGGGCCTCTAGACGAAACGAGAGAGTCCAGGTACGCCAGCAGGAGCTGTGTGCGGAGCTCAGCCACGAGATTGCTGAAACGCGCAAGTACATCCTCAAGAATCGGCAGGGTAAGCAAACCTCCCCTTCAAACTCCCAGGGTTTTGACCATCGGAACCCGTGCTGATCGTTTTGTATAGACCCCGAAGGTACCTATGAGACACCCTCCTTTGACTGAGAAGCTGCCGGATGATTATGAGTCATGAGAAATAAGACATACAATAGTTAATAGAGTTTTCAGATTCATTCCTTTGTGGAGATCTATAGGTAGACGTATGAGTAAGTAGGGGAAATCGGGGCTTAAAGGCTATGATCGCCAAGGGACATGGCTTCGTGTTGAGCGGCGTCCACTATTCCCAAAATGTAGAAGCTTGCGATGAATAGCGGCGGGACCGGCCGTAGGAGCCTGATTCTCTAGGCAGCGCATTAACTGATCCTTCGGTGAAGCTGACATCAGACCGGCTCACGGAGTCCTCTATCTCCGTCTCTCAACTCACTGCCACATGGAACACGGGGGCTCAACAATGATTCAGGATGCCATATTTGTCTGGGTCCCCATTGGAAGTATAGCATCATCAAGGGCGTACGTATCACGTCTTGCATGGAGACTTAGGTTTTGTTGTTTACACGAGTCGCGACGTTGACATCGGGGTTTGATCTTCCCGATCTCCGCTTCCCTGTCAACTTTTCCCCCTACGTCAGCCGGGTTTGGATGAGAGTGAGATCCCGACTGACGAAGCTGAAAGGGTCTGGGCGCTGAAACGAGCCCTCACGCATTGTGACCTTGGCCAACTGCAGCTGCAGCAACGACAGGTCACTGCTTCATTCCATGAGACCAGCGGACACTTTATGCACGGCATTCGGCGGCGGTGATTCGCCTAACAAATGTCCCGGCCGTGGCTCTCTCGGGAGCTTCGGCAATCGTTAGGCGTTATGTGACAATCTAAACCCAATTCGGTGTACCTTGCGAGTCCATATCTTCGCCGCGCAACTATGGAACCAGCCAATCCCCCTCCCGTCAGCTCTCTTTTTTGGGTCTCGCCCAAAATACCGTGGACATTCAGCGAATGAGTGGTTTGGTTTCCTTCATGGTCCTGAATTACTAATGGAACCGGCCAGGAACCATCACTCTCCGGGGGTGTGAAACAATCAATTAGATTCTCAGGTAGCACAGATTTTCACCGTCTTTCTCGACAAAGGCTGGCTATGATGGGTGGCCCAGAGAGTAGAGTACAGGGGATCCCCTCCCCCAGGCAGACATGAAGTGATACGAATAGGATCAAACGTGGGTGGTCTGGGAAACCAAGGTTTTGGAAGGATCGCGCGGCGCGTTGTACAGTACGCAACGTACCTTACCCTTACCCTGGCTCCATACAATCGGATCTGACCCTGAGAGTTTTGCCTGTGGCTCGGCCACTCGTTTCTCTTTCTCATCTCTACATTCACAGGTGGAGCAATTCCGTTCACCCTGTGGAGTATTCCCGTTTCCTCGCTTGGTCTTATATAGCACGGCTCCAGTGCTATTTTCTCTGCAGCTTTTTGTATCTTCTCCTTTTCTTTCCCCGCCTCTGTGTGTTTTTAGATATTAAGAACGGTTCACGCCATCTATCTACGAGTCTTGATAAACGTCCGAACGTCTCTGTGATTATTGTGGCTATCGACTGGGATCTAGTTCAACATGAGCAACAGCACGCTTGCGGCTCAGGCCGAGTTCCGCCAGTCGTTGAGGGAGGGCTGCCATGCTTATGTGGAGGGGTATGGCACATCATATGGCTACCAGCCATCACTGGCCGCAGGCATCGTATTCTGCGTGCTCTTTGGAGTCTCAATGCTTGCGCATCTGGTGCAGATGGTATGGAAGAGGACATGGTGGTGTACGGTATTCGTCCTCGGGTGTGCTAGTACGTCCCCCTCCTGATCTTTTCACATCTGGTCTGCGCCGCGAAACTGACACGCTTCTTTCCAGTTGAACTCATCGGTTGGGCCGGTCGTACATGGTCTGCAGAGTGTCCGTATAACTCGACAGCATTCCTGATGCAGATTTCCACCCTGATCATCGGTAAGTCGCAATCTCCCTGAAAGGCTCATACACCAAACATGGCCCTAATCCACCACCTCGTTTCAGCCCCAACCTTCTTCACCGCGGGAATCTACGTCCTTCTGGGCCGGTTCATCGCGCTGATGGGCCCGGAAACCTCGATGCTGAGCCCCAAGCTCTACCTCTGGATCTTCGTCACCTGCGACATTGTCTCGTTGGTCGTGCAGGCCATCGGCGGCGGGCTGGCGTCGATCGCCTACAACAGCGCGGACGGCAACACCGAGCCCGGCACGCACACCATGGTGGCCGGTATCGTCTTCCAGCTGGCCTCGATCACCGTCTTCGTCCTGCTGGCGGCCGACTTCGTGCGCCGCACCCTGCGCCTCCGCCTCCTGCAGACCATGACCGGCTCCGTGGTGCCCCTGCTGGGCGCCATGATTCTGTCGGTGGTCGTCATCTACGTCCGGAGCATCTACCGCACGATCGAGCTGTCGCAGGGCTGGTCCGGCTTCCTCATCACGCACGAGGTGTACTTCATCGTCCTCGACGGCGTCATGATGGTCATCGCCGTCGCCGTGTTCAATGTCTTCCACCCCGGGTGGCTGCTGCCGAAGGGGGCTCCGAAGCCATTCCATCGGGAGATCAACTCGTTCGACATGGAGAGACGATGATTCCCGGACGATTCGCTTCTGTTTTTGCATTTCATGTATGGCGAATTCCATATCCGAGTCTTATTTGGCCTTGTACTCTTCTTTTTCATTCCCACCCCCCTCCTTTCCCTTTCTCTGTAATTGACTTATTCTGTCTCGAACATAGACTCAATACCCTACCCCCACTTCTATCTTCCTATCTTCCCATCTCATCATGATAATCACCTCCCCCCTCCCCCCCAAATCAACCCACTTCAGGAATCATCAAGCCATTACCCCATACAGAACAAAATAGATAGCCAGACAAAATACCACCACATCCTCATCCTATCCTCATCCTATTTCTCAAACCCACTCAACCCAACACCCCACCACCGAAAAAAAAAGAAGGATCAATCACATCTGTTTCCGATGAAAACATTCAAGAAAACCCCGGGGAGGAAACCCTTCTCCGCAACCCAGAGCTCCGATAAATTGGGTTGGCGTTTCATCTTCGGTTTCAAGGTTTCCCGCGACACGGACCCAAAAATCGGGCTGGCTCTCTCGGAAGGTAGGTAGACTTGATCGACCGTCCCCTACCCACCCAAACCGCCAAAACCCCTGGTTGTCTTGATTGATTGGTTGGTTGGTTGGTACAGTATTCTCATCGCCGTACGTAGCCTGAGTTTGTTTTTCTGCTTTTTTGGGGAGGCGGGGTGGATTGCAGGGCTTGACTGCTGTACTATGCTTTTGCTGAATTGTGGGTCTTGGGCCGAGGCTGTAAGGTCTCTAGTAGTATACTGCACTGGGGACTTGGTGCTGTGTGGTTTCAACGGGGAAGCTTAGAAATTTGAACTTAGATCTCGCAGCTTCGCAGCTTCGTGTACCAAAATCGGAGATTGCTTGATCTTTCAGAATGCAGTCTACAGGTCAGGGGAGAGTTTTGCCTGAGCTCGGTCCCGAGCTGCCAGACAATCAAGTTTTGAAGATGGACGTGATATTTGCAGGATATTGACACACAATAAAAAAAAGTACAGAAAAGGCGAGAAGTAAAAAGAAAAAAAAAATCGAAAGAATAAGGTCATAAGAGAAGCACAGTCTCCCGGAAACAACCATTCAGTTCTTTTCGCCCAACTTCCCAGAACGCCCGTTCAATTTGATGGTGAGGTGGTGGGGAGAGGGGTTTGCTTTATTGCACCGTTGCTCCGCCCGCTGACATACATTGCTTGCTTTGAAGGGGATACTGAAAGACACAAAGAGAATCGCAAGAAGAAAGTATCAACACTCTGCTTCGGTGAGGAGATTTCCCTTGGTAGCGAACGTGATGCAATACCGAAATTCCTTTGCTTCGGCAGAAGAGACTGTGTTCCATGGAGTCATAAGAAGTAGGATATTCCCTACGAGATCATACGCCGTCCACCGACTCGATCCATCCGAACATAAATCCGTTCACCAGCGCAGCAGCGGCCCACACCAGCCCCCAGGCCGAAGCGCCCTCTACGCTCACCCGTTTCACCGTGCCTGCGACCTGGATGACCGTGTTGGCGAGCAACATACCCGCCAGAACAACGGTGCGCGAGACCAGCACTTGAGTCTTGGGGGAGAGGGTGCCCCAGGTCTTGCGGTAGACGGCGCACGCGAGGTACTCGCCATCCTGGGTGGAGGTGGAGGGTTTCGTGGTCTTCTCGATCTTCTTGTCGCTGGCAGCAGACGCGCCGGTCGAGCTGGCGAAGAGGAAATCGCGCGCCGCAAAGCCGGCGGGGAGGAGAGTCAGGAAGAGAGCCGGGAGGCCGGCGGGTCCTGCGTGCACGGCGGAGATGTCGGGGATGCCCTCGAAGTGGAGGACCAGGTTGGTGGGCAGCCACGGGGTGGCGTAGCTGAGGTAGAGGGCCACGGTGAAGATTGCGGTTGCGACCATGGTCGTGTAGGCGGTTGTGGCGCGGTCTTGCAAGATGAGGCGGTTGGAGACGGTCTCCGGGCTCGCGTGGGCGAGATTATGGAAAGAGTTGGGGCGGCGGAGGAGGGTGAAGGGGAGGACCGTCGAGAGGATGGTGATCGCATACGAGGCCAGGATGGTGGTCGGTCGCACGCCGTAGAAGGTGGAGAGGAGGGAGTAGGTCGGAAGATGGGTGAGGAAGGTGAAGGAGCAGACATCATGGCCTGCGCGAAGAGGTCAGTTTCATCAGAGGGGGATGCTGTGGGAAGAGGTATACATACTGTCGTATCCCAGAATCCAGGCCAGCCCGACCTCAACGGCCTTCCACGCCATCAACCCTCCCACTTCCCACCAGGTCTCAAGATGCTTGCTCACATTGCCGAGCTCGCCCCGGGTCACGATCGGCATGAGCGTAAATAGGCCAGAGCTCAGAGCTAGGCTGCTGACAACGGCAAGAAGGAATCGCGCTGCGGGTGGAATCCGCTCCAACTGCGTCTTGTGGTGGGGCTGCGCACTGGCGCTGGGCTCTTGGGTTATTGTCACAGAGGACAGCACTTCTTTCTTGCGCGGGGACATGGTTCGAATCTGATCGTTGTGTTTGTTCACAGATGTGTGGTGGTGCTGTTAGTGGCGATAGAATGGTGGTGCGACGAGAGTATTCTTGAAGTTAAGGCTGGTCAGTGGGGGGAGGGGGAAGTAGTGATGGAGGGGGATGAAAGAATGAGGAAGAGAAAGGACAACACGAGGCACGAGATAAAGAAAGAAAGATTAATGATGAGGCTGGGAATGTTTGGCCCTCGCGGGCGGTGAGGTCAGCAGTGCATGATGTCATTCGTCCATGATGCAAACAAGGACCCTGGTTCGCGGACTGAGGCAGCAAGGCATTGGTTCCACTATACCTCATCATTATGGCATGCAGGTTTGTTTATTCCTATACATTCAATAACTGTACAATTCGGTTGTATACATGATGCCAATGGGGTCATCCATCAAGAGAACAAGTCAACACTTATTCAGGTCTGGCTATTGCCTCGCAAAGCCTGCAATGCATGTCGCGTCGCAGGCTACTTACATCTCCCAGCATCGTCCTCAATCGTCCTCTTTCTCTGGCTCGCTCTCTACCACGGAAAACTCCGCCGCGCCTTGCTCACGACCCTTGCCATCCCGCATAACCAGCTGGTATTTGCCCTGATTCCATAGGTCTTTAATCGTCAATTCGCGCGTACGTCCGAGACTTTCGATGTCTCCAATACGCGTCAGTGTGCCCTCCAAGTGCTCATCGAATCCTGGCCAGTTGCAGATTTCACGGAACGCGTTCTGCATCGGAACCGAGTCGGCTCGAACCATGGCTCGAGAGTCGATAGTGAAGATGTTTTCATGATCATAACTCTGGACGAAATCGGCTCTCGTCATGATCTGCCGGGCTTCGTGGAGGGGGATCTCTGGGAGGATGTGGCCTAGCTCCGGGTGATAGGATTGCTTCATCTTCTTTTCCTCTTCCACAAGTGCCTTGGCCAGCACCATCGCGGCGGACTATCATCGTTGTCAGTCGTATTTTGTCCGTCCTGACCTTGGGAGAACCATACCGCATATTTTTGCTGGTCCATCACATCATCATCCATCTCGGGACCCAGGATCCAACACTTGTTAAGAAACCATGTCTTCTCGGCCGTGCAAATATCTTGACACAATTTCTTGTAATCAGGGGCCTTAGCCACCCGATTCAAGAAAGACAGCCGCCCTCCAACGGCATCGTACACCTTCTCCAGATCTTCAGGTGAAAGCTCTTCACCGAAATACTGCTTGCGGTATCTCTTCAGGGCCTCCATGGCCGGCTCCTTGGGTAAATCTTTGACGGGGATGACTTCCATGCGCGTCGCATAGCGCTTGAGGCGTTCGTACACCCAGTAATCATCGCTGTTCAGGACTTTGGTAGCCAACTATTAGTGATAGATCCACAAACTACATGATGAATCAAACTCACTCGTCGTGACAAGGCCACTTGCGGCCCACTGCTCGGCTCGTTGCTGAATGACCTCGAGAAGATCTTGGCCATCATGATCGTCGCGGACCAAGTGTGCGCTATTGATAATCAAAATCAAGGGACTCTTCTTCGTGCGCCGTCTAGTCAAAGCGACCTTTTCTAGCTTGTTGAATGCGCGCTCAATATCCAGGAGAGCGGTTGTGTCCCGGGGGCCCTTGATGCTGAACAAACTTCCAATGTAGCTGCAAGATGCGCACTATGTGTCAGTCAAAGCCATCACAGCAGCCAGGCCATTAGCCTTCATAGGTACTCGCTTACTCTTCATGGAATTCATAGTCCAGTGCTTTACCCAGACGGATCCGGAAAATCTCCAGATCCCCATGCGCCTCGAACATTGCGCAACCCTCGCCGTTGATCTTACGCATCGCTTCGAGGATCATGGACGTCTTTCCCGTCCCTTTCTCCCCGACCAACAGGTAATAGCGTCCTACTCCGAGGCCGGAGACAATCCTGTCGATGCGGGCTTGCTCGTCACGGACTACCCAATGCTCTTCATGGTTGAAGCGGTGCTTTCCTTCCTCGATCCCGGCAATTTCAAGCGCAGGGTCACCAGGATTGAAAGCATTCTCCATTTTTTCCAGGATCAGATACTTGTAGTACCGATGATACGCATATCCGGCTAGACTAGTGCCATAATCAGCGAACCACGAGTGCTTCCATGTCGTGAGGAAGCGGATCTTACCCTAGAATTGCAAGAGAGGCGAATGTCGTGGCTGCCGTCTCCATCATCTTCAGCAAAGTCGACCTCACCGTGGGCTCCTCCTCCGCCTCCTTCTCTCTCTTCTTCTCCCGACTCTTGGGCTCTTCAGATGGGCTTTGCTCTAACGAGTCGGGCCCCGCCAATACAGGCCCCTGCGTGAAATTTCGTACGACATAAGGGGTGGTGATTCGATGATTCCGGGGAGGTCGTGGCAGGCCAGCCCGGGCGAGAGAACTCAGGGACCGGGAAGCATGTCGATACAACATCATGCTCCACCAGTCGGATATCGTGGAGGTGTCTAGCAAGATTTCTCGAAGACGAAGGGGTCATGAAAAAAAGAAAAGAACGACTGAATGAAAGCCAAGAACAGGGCGATAGATCCTGTGCTTCAGTTTGAGGTGATAAGAACGAATGGTCCGGGACGTCGGCGCAGATAAATTAATGTATGACAAAGGACGAGTGACGGATCTGATATATACTACATGCAACGAATGCCAAGTGCAATTAGCAGGGAGGAAATTGGGCCGGAAGAACAGATTCTGCCCATGCACGGACCAGGGACTAAGGAGCGACAACGGTGAGCAGGTTCAAAAGAAGGAAGCAAGTTGAGGTGGGAAAATGTAGGGGGAAAAAAGAGTGTCGGGAAGGTTCAGCCAGCAACAGGAAGATGAGGTGTATCTATGGGGTGCAGAACCAATGATTCGTTTACTGGCTTGCGCATCTCTGGTTCGTCTGCTGCGCCTCCGATCGTCGAGACTTATGCACTGTAAATTCTGATAGTGGCCTTGGCATTGACCATGCTGTGGCTGACCGTTTAGTATCCAGCGGCTCAATGTCTAATATGTACTCCGTAAGTTGGTTTGTTTGAGGTTGAGATGGAATTCATGATTACTCGATGCCAAGTGTTCTTGAACCGATTGCTTGAATCCTGTGCCTGAATAGGATGAACAATCAAAAAAGGCACGTGACCCTGTCAGGAACGATTCTACCGTAGCACGGCACCTGCCCGTTTTACCTATTTTACACCGGTGTCTGTCTCAACGATTGGCTATCCAGTACCAGTGCAAAATGTAACTTACTCCGCAGATGTGCTTAGGATATTATCAGATTGATCGATACTCGGCTGTTGTGCCGAAATATATTTCCCTTCCGCTTTACCGGTGGTCCCGCCGACAGGGAGCTCGATACTGATAATAGTGCGTAATCGGTGGTCTCGTATTTGTCGCAGCTGATCGGAGATTAAATAGATCAAAGCTAAGATTTGGATTAGGGCTATGGTTGCTTTTTTTATGGCAGTAGCATGAAGAGTGATTGCCAGGTCGTAAGGCTGTGCGAAAGACAGATAAACAAACAGAGAGAGGAAGTGTCTGTAGGTGTGGGTGTAGGAACTATATTTGCGGGACACTGTACAGCCAGCACCATCGAGTCAATCGTCGGAAATGGTGACAATTCACTTGATGAACTGGATGCAGTTACATGCACAAGAATTTGAAAGACAGCGCAGATATCGATTGCCCCATTGGGATGAGAAACCATGGCAGGCAATGGATGTGGAGAAATGGTGTTGAATCTGCCGTCTTTCCCATCCACCGCCCCGAGCAGTTCCGAAGGTTTTCCGCATCCGCGAAATTTTCTCTTCTGGCCGGTTTCCCCGTGTGCGCTTCTCCAGCTTCATTCCATCCTATTCCTATACTTTACCTTTTTTCCCTCTCTTCCCCCCCCCCCATTTTGCGCTTCCCTTAGTTGGTTTGGGTTCTGGGGTCCGGTTTGCACTTGCTTCAATTGCTCCTCTCCCATACCTTGTATCATATTCTATTATTTTTCTTATTCAATCTCCCTCCCGTTCCGTTTCCTTTTTTATTTTCTCCACCGCTACCCGATTCTTCTTCGGGTTCGAGTCATCAAGTCGTCGCCAGGTCGCTACGCTTCTTCAATACTTCAGTCACCCTTCCTCTCATTACGGTCCGGTCAACCCATCAATTAGTCCGCTAAAATGGCCCAGACCAATGGCGAATTGGAGCACTCGAAAGGTTTGCTCTCTCCGACATTCTCGCAGCATGTTTTGCCTTCGGCCAACTAATCAATCGTCCATGCAGAGTCTCCCGAACAGCTCCTCAATGGCGACTCCCCTGTTGAGGGCCAGGAGGAGGAAATCAGCGGTGGTATGTAGCCTTGCAAAACGGCTCAAGACTACATTGATTACTGACGTGCACGGCTCTTACGTTTCCAGGTCTTTTCCAGATCTCCGTGAAGTTGCCTCGTGAGCCCTACAAGATCCAGGTCATGGTGGGTATCTTGTCTACAGGAAAATTATACGACCAGCACCAAATCCCGTCGTTCTAACCCAGATCCTTCGTTAGGTCTCGAGTCAAGAACAAGTCCAAGACGTTCGTCAATCCATTGTCGAACTTCCCAGCACCTTTCAGTACACCTGCTTTCATCTCGAATTCAACGGCCAGCGCATCAACGACTTCGTTGAACTGTCGGAGGTACCAGACCTCAAGGCTGATTCCGAGATCGTCCTTGTGGAGGACCCCTACAACGAGAAGGAGGCCCGCATGCACGTTGTCCGCATGAGGGAATTGGTCGGTGCCGCTGGTGACCGTGTCGATAACCTCCATGGTCTCAGTGCGGGTTTGTCTCTGCACGATGCCATTGCGGCCGACGCCGAAGAGACTGCCTCCGACAAGGACCACTCCCTCTCCAAGTACGAGATTGCTAGCTCTCCATCTTTGAAGACTATCCTTCCTCGTGACGAGACTCCTCTTCCCAAGACTGTTAAGGCCATCTCTCTTTCTGCTTGGAACCCTCCCCCCTACCACCTGCGTCAAAAGGGTCACTTGCTCTACCTTCAGGTTACCACCAACGAGGGCGAGCAGTTCCAGATCACGTCCCACGTCTCTGGCTTCTACGTGAACAAGTGCTCGAACATGAAGTTTGACCCCTCTCCCAAGACCATCCCCAAGTGCGGCAAGGCTCACTCGCTGCTTTCCTTGATCGCCCACCTGTCGCCTTCGTTCAGCTCCTCTTTCGAAGCGCTCCAGGAGTCAAACAACAAGAAGGATCTCCTGACTACCTTCCCGTTCCAGAACGCCATCCCCAACAACCCGTGGTTGGTGCCTTCTCCCACCTCGAACGCCAATGCACACCAGTCGGATATCACTCGCTCTCAAGAGAACTACCTGATCTCTGGCGTTGACAACGCAGAGACTCTCAGAGACTGGAACGAGGAGTTCCAGACTACCCGGGAGCTTCCTCGGGATACTGTCCAGGACCGTGTTTTCCGTGAGCGCTTGACATCCAAGCTGTTCGCCGACTACAATGAGGCTGCTGCTCGCGGTGCTGTTCTTGTCGCCCGCGGCGAGGTTGCCCCCTTGAACCCCACTGAGGACCGTGACGCCCAAATCTTCGTGTACAACAACATCTTCTACTCCTTTGGTGCCGACGGTGTCGGTACCTTCGCCTCCGAGGGTGGTGATGAGGCTGCCCGCGTTGCTGTCGGCAAGGATGTCCTGGGTATCAAGGCTGTTAACCAGCTTGACATTAACGGCCTGTTCACCCCCGGAACTGTTGTCGTTGATTACCTTGGCAAGCGTATCGTTGGTCAGAGCATTGTTCCCGGTATCTTCAAACAGCGGGAGCCCGGTGAGCACCAGATCGACTACGGTGGTGTTGAGGGCAAGGATGTCGTGGCCACCCACCCCGACTTCGTCCCTGTCTTCGAGAAGATGTCCAAGGCTCTCCGTGTTAAGAAGCACGCTGTCTGGGACAAGGAGAACCAGCGTCACGAACTGGAGGGCAGTGTCGAGACGAAGGGTCTCTTGGGCACTGACGGTCGCAAGTACGTCCTTGACCTGTACCGCGTGACTCCCATGGATGTTACTTGGCAGGAGGAGGAGGGTAGCGACGCCTATCCCCACCGCATGTCCGTGCTGCGCTTGGAACTCGTTGAGTCGTACTGGAGACACAAAATGAGCCAGTACGTCAAGGCTGAAGTTGAGCGCCGCCGCCAGGCCAAGGCCGAGGAGGACGCCTCTAAGGAGAAGACTGAGGAGACCTCCGAGTCTAAGGAGCAGGAGGGCTCTGAGGAGAAGCCCGAGGAGAAGCCCGAGGAGAAGCCCGAGGAGAAGCCCGAGGAGAAGCCCGAGGAGAAGACTGAGGAGTCTAATGAGCAGGAGCGCGTTGATATCTCCGGATTCTCCCTTGCTCTGAACCCTGATGTGTTCAGCGGCCAGGTTCCTCAGACCGAGGAGGAGAAGGAACAGTGGGCGCAGGATGAGAAGGAAGTCCGCGAGACTTGCGACTACCTGCGCTCCAAGGTCATGCCCGAGCTTGTTCAAGATCTGCATGACGGAGATGTCGGTTTCCCCATGGACGGACAGTCTCTCAGCCAATTGCTGCACAAGCGCGGTATCAACATCCGCTACCTCGGCAAGCTGGCCCAGCTGTCCAAGGAGAAGGGAGCTCGTCTTGACGCTCTGACCACTCTCCTCGTCCAGGAGATGATTGCTCGTGGCTTCAAGCACATTGCCAACCAGTATCTCCGCAATGTCCCGGCTCCTTTCGTTACCTCTTGCGTTGCCCACTTGTTGAACTGCCTCTTGGGCGCTGACGTCAACGCCAGCCCTCGCGCTGAGATTGACGCTGCCATGCGCTCGATCTATCCCGACGGTGACTTCTCTTTCGAGAAGGTCACTCCGGCTACTCTCCGCGCTGAGATTGAGAAGCAGGTCACCATCCGGTACCGCTTCACTCTGGAGGCTGAGTGGTTCAACTCTCTGCGCCACCTGCAGCTTCTCCGTGACATCTCTATCAAGCTTGGTCTTCAGCTTGGTGCTCGCGACTTCGTCTTCGACAAGTCTCAAATCCCTGCCAAGGCGCCTGCTACCAACGGTGCCAACGGTTCCGCTCAGGAAGAGGGCAACGGCAAGAAGAAGAACAAGAAGAAGGGTGGCGACTCTAGCTCCCCTGCCCGTGCTCCTGTGGAGGAGAAGCCGGCCCTCACCATCTCCGCCGATGATATCCTTAACATCGTGCCCCTCGTGAAGGACGCCTCTCCCCGCAGCTCGCTCGCTGAGGAGGCTCTTGAAGCCGGCCGTATCTCTCTCATGCAGAACCAGAAGCAATTGGGCCAGGAGCTCATTCTGGAATCCCTGTCGCTTCATGAGCAGATCTACGGCATCCTCCACCCCGAGGTTGCCAAGCTCTACCACCAGCTCTCTATGCTCTACTACCAGACCGACGAGAAGGAAGCGGCCGTCGAGTTGGCTCGCAAGGCCGTCATCGTCACTGAGCGTACTCTGGGTGTTGACTCCGCCGATACCATCCTGAGCTACCTCAACCTCAGCTTGTTCGAGCATGCCTCTGGCAACACCAAGACTGCCTTGGCCTACATCAAGCATGCTATGGACTTGTGGAAGATCATTTATGGTGCTAACCACCCTGATTCGATCACCACCATGAACAATGCCGCTGTTATGCTGCAGCACTTGAAGCAGTACTCCGACTCCCGGAAGTGGTTCGAGGCTTCTCTGGTTGTGTGCGAGTCGCTCTTCGGCAAGCAGTCCATCAACACCGCCACAATCCTGTTCCAGCTCGCCCAGGCCCTGGCTCTCGACCAGGACTCGAAGGGTGCGGTTGCCAAGATGCGCGATGCTTACAACATTTTCCTTGCCCAGTTGGGTCCCAACGACCGCAACACCAAGGAGGCTGAGACCTGGCTCGAGCAGCTCACCCAGAACGCTGTTTCTATCGCCAAGCATGCCAAGGACATCCAGGCTCGCCGTCTGCGCCGTATCAATATGACCCCCCGCACTCTCGGCACCAAGGTCCAGCCTCAGGTTGGTCAGTCTGCCCCCGAGGCTGCTGGAGCCAAGAGTGGCACCTTGGATGCTCGAAGCGTCGATGAGCTGCTCAAGTTCATTGAAGGCGGCGACCAGGGCTCCTCGAAGGCCAAGCAGAAGAAGCGTGCCGCCGCCAGCAACCCCAAGCTCCGCGGCTCGAAGAAATCCTCGGCCTAGACTCGAATTTCCTTCTCTCCTTTTTCCTTCTTTTGATGAGGTTATTGGGTAAAACGAAAAGCTGCTCTGGTTTTGTTTTCCTTGGCTTAGAAGAAATGTCTTAACATGAATGTTGTATTTTGACCCCATATATCCTTGTCAAGGGTCAATATGTTGGATGAGCGGCACGTTTGTATTTCTGTAAAACTCTCTCTACTCTTTCACACCAATTGGTGATCATGGCTCTATGTTGATTATATTTATACACTTAGTTATTTCTCATTCTTTTCCGCGGGCAGAGCATAGCAAAGTCGGGCGATTTGCATGCTATCTGGGTATGTTTCCATGTACTATATATGACCAGCGACCTTCCAAATGTGTCTGTAATGAATTTTAACACATTACTCTGAGTTCGCCTATTCTTGTACACAATTCAATACTTAACATTTCTTTTCCACCGAATGCCAATCTTGATAGTTGGGCGAGTCGATAAACAACTCTTCCGTAGTTGAATAGTTAATCATGGACGTCACCGCTTTGACTAAGACGAGACGAGGGCGATTGACCGCCTTTGCCGATTGTGCCCATGTTTACGTTCTGCGATCACAACATCCAATCTTCTTTGTCCCTCTTTCAGAGCTGCATACCTCTTGGGCTTTTCTGCACTCCGGCCCTCTAAGCTTATTCTGCATTGGAAATCCTTGTATCTTCTTACAAAGTATTTTTTTGGATTTTGGAGTCTTCCTGTTGCATCTCATAACCTGAATTAGCAAGCAGCCTAGTCGCTTACAAGATCCCGGTCGCGAGCCCGCTAAAAGATGGACTATCTATGAACAGCATTGAACCCATCAAGTCCGGTAACGAGATTCACATCTCATATGTTCTGCGATATTTGGATTGAGACTGACCGAGACTTCGAAGCGCAGACCGCGAGCCGACTGGCGCAACATGGAGGACATCCGACCGACCGCGAGGTGGGCAAACCGCATGTTGCGCCCTTTGACCTCCGTCTACCACCGATTAGAAAAGCACCACGAGATCCGTGCTAGTGTCGCGGATGCGAAAACGAAAGTCAATGCTGGCAACGTCAGCATAGAGCGCAAAAGTGTTCCGTCGAACCGAACCAGTCAACCCGCGACCGACCAAGGCTGTACCTACCCGGACGAAGAGCCTGACGATCCCGCCTGGATTCCCGGGCGACCCCCGAGCCGCCGGATTCGACACAATTACTCGACTCGGGGGCAGAGGAATGGCGCGCGACGACGGACTCGAGTGACAATTCAGAGCCCGGAAGCGCAGCGGACGTTGCCTGGCGCGATTGAGATCGCGACTCCCTTGATTACCGGAAGATCCCACGGGTCGTTGGACGCCTCCTCGTCCATCAGGAAACAGCTCTTCCGGAACGTCATATCGGCCACTGGCGGTGGGGAGGCTAGCGACAATCGCAAAGGCACTCGCTCCAACAATAGCAGTTTCCCCGCCTATCAAGGTTCCTGGAAAGAGGTACTCGATATCTGTGGGAACCCGGGATTTGTGGATATCGCGCGCTATTTAGATCAAGTACTTCTTAAGTTTTTGAATAACACCCGCGAAACCCCGACAGTTATACCTCAACATGCACACATGACACGCGGACCGCGGTCGCTGATGTCGGCCGCACTGCGCCGCCTTCCGGAGTTTATTGCAGAGGAGCAGGTGTTACAAGATGAGATCGAGGAAGACGGGGAGGTTGATATGTGCGATGCTTACTTCACTGAGCTTGAGGCCTTCTATGCGTCCAACGACAACGGGTGGCAGCCGCTGCGCGAAGCAGCGCGCGCACGAGGTATCCATTTGATCTCGGAAATGATCCGGAGAGGATGGATTCCGAGATTGGCCGCCTGTCGCTTGCTCCAAGTGTGCTTGGAAAATGATGAATTCGATGCTTTTGAATCTTTGTTATCTCGTTGCTTGCTTGATGTGGCCACCTACGTGTATCCTTCGGCCTTTGAACCATCCAAAGCTAGTGACTATCGCGAAGACCCTATTCGGGTGCTGCGTGTTTATTACTCGCGCGTCCCTTCGCGGCGATCCTTCTTCTACGATGAATTGGCGAAGCTTCTCACGCGAGGGGTGTTCCCTCCTGAATGGATGGTCACCAGCCTATGGAAGAAGTGCGTTGATGGTGCGATCCAATCGGTATCTGCCGGAGACGGGGATTCCGCGGCTGCGACCAAAGCTGTTGAGGCCATCGTCCTTGCGTCTGCTGGCATTTACTCGAACACAGGTGCGATTTCAGCTCGTTTTGAAGGCCCACCTGCGCAGCGCTCTGTCAGACCGAAGGACACACGTGCGTCCACAACGAATGCGAGTTCATTGCTTGAAAGCCGGGCTCCATGCCCCGTTCCTATCCAGGACGCGTTGAGCAATCTCATCGCTAGTCTTGTGACCGCGCTATGCGGCATGTGCATTACACGCACGCAAGCATCTGGGCCTGATGAAAGGACAAGCGGGCTCAAAATCCGACAAATGGTTACGCGCTTCGCATTTAACGTTCAAAGGGCCATTGGGATTGTCTCGACACCTGAGGAGATCCAAACACTGGGACTACAATCCCTCCGTCGCGGATATGTCCTGTTGGGCGATTTTATACTACAGGCTAAGCAAGACCTCCCGTACGATCTGATTGTGTACTCTGATGCATTGTCAGAACAACACATAAATACATTTTGTCTATCATTGGCTGGGCAGCAGGATACGATCAAGGAGCTAGCCGAGTTTGTTCAACAAGTTTTTCATTGCTGCGGGCATGCGCGTAAATCCGAGCCGACTCGCACTCCTCGGGAGATCAAAGACACGGTCACACGACTCGCTCGGCTGACGTCTTTGGCCGGGGTGTCTCTTCTGCTGGATAAAGTTGCAGCCGAAACCGCGATGTTACTGGCGGAGATGACTCTGGACGAGGATGACCACGTATGGGCATTAGAGATGCAAGGTGAAGCTATCTCATCACAGCAGGAGCAGAGGGCGGCGACACGGCCTACTGCAACGAGTGAAGCATTTGCCGGCCAGCCCAGCGATACTTATCGATGGGAGGATAGTATTGGAGAATGGGTCGCGAACACACCTGCCTCCAAACGCCTGGCCGCCCGGCCGAAACTCGCGTCGAATCTTGACTGCTCAACGAGCAGTAGCGCTTCGGCCAGTCCAGCTCCGTCCGAGACGATGGCTTCCAGCGTGACATCATCTGCACCATCGTTGACCGGCAAGAGGGAGCGTGCTCAGCAGGACTTGGAAGTGCGGTCGCCCAAACGACTTCGATCGACCTCGCTGAAGATGACGAGAGGAGGCTCTGGCGCTACGTGCCACGAGCCGGAACGGCCAGGCGAATCAGAATCTGCACCTGTAGCCGCCCGGACTCGCACGGCTCTCCGCGACCTGTCCCAGGCCAAGAACCGCATGATCCAATCATCTCGAACGCGAGTATCGACCATCGGCAGCAAGGATCTGACCCCTGTTACGAGTGGTTGTAGGACAGTCCACCCCTTGCCCCAGATCGAAGTGGTTATCGTCAACAGCTTTGCTCCTGCAGTTGACACGACAAGGACTCAACCAGATGCCGTGCTAGTCTGCAGAAAATCGGCACGATTAGCTCGAGCCTCAATCTCTGCTCCCGTCCCCGCCGTCACCCCTACGGCCATTGCGACCGAGTCGAACAGAAGAACGACTCGACCTCGTCGCGCACGACTACCACCGCCGCCGGCGCCGGTGATGTCCTATTTCGATGAGGACAGCGACGATGAGCTCAGCTTTCTGGCCTAAATCGTAGCCTCTTGTGTTAGTATTTTAGTACCGTTTGTTCTACACGGATTTTTCAGGGTGCGCATGCATCGTCGGGCATGGCGGGCAGTTTATTAGGAAGTTCTTCGGTTCAGGTTTAGTTTATAGTTTTCTGGATGATACCCGGGGCGATTGGGATGATGCTTTTGATTGTTGAGGATTTGTTTGGAGGGACTGCTTGATTGTTTGTTGATAGAGTAAATCAAGGGTTTGTGGAATCAACTTGGCACCGAAAGGGTTTCATTTATCATAAGCATGGCTGGCATCATTGATGGCGGTTCGAGATCCGGTTTCGAATAGAGCAGATACACATAGAAGAGAGACATTGATTAATGCGCTGTAGTTATTCTTGGACTCCTGGGGGTCATGAGTTGATGGAGTATTCCGTCCTTTTGTCGACTCCCCGAATTCTTTATCCGAGTGGAACGGGGGATGCCAACTGGAAAAGGTTAGAAGTGTTTGAGATGGAGAATTGACGGGCAAACTTGGCACTTTGTCAGGTGTCACTTCCCTCTCCTAATAACCTGTCGGCTCTGTCAACGGCCACGACTAGATGTTTCAACTTGATGGGGACTTATCCCTGATCATTATCCCGCAAGATAGTTGTATGGTGGTGGGTGAGGAAAGAAAGACCAAACACAACATCTCTCCAATCCTGAGCAATTCCCACCACCATCACCATCGTGCGTGGTGTTTAACCGCCCGGCGTCAGCACTTTCTTCAGGCTCTTGCATTATGCATCTGCACGAATCCTTTTTTCCAACTAGTACTCTCTGGAAAGTCTGTACTGCTCTACATGCGACGGTACCTTACTCCGTACCTCACCGACTTCAAAACAAATGAAGAAAAGCAAACCCACTCTGTCCCGCTTGACCTCCGCCGGCGTCTCTCGTCCTTCCGCCCGCATTGGCTCGCCCGACGCAAGGGCGTCAGCCAAGCCGCGAGATCTCAACCCGACCTCCGCTTGATTGTTTCAGCATCGAGCCATTGACCTTTCGAATTCTCGCGGTCGCCCGGATCAGCCGCTGTGGCGGGCGCCAATCCTTCCTTTGGAGCCGACGATGCACCGCGGTAGGTTGGATATGTCCAATTCCTGGGCTCGGAGGCGAATACTGCTGTCTAGTGACTCTAGTCTAATGGCCCAGCCAGCCAGCCAGGAGTCCAACCAGCCAAGGCCCCACGACCCTCTCTCCCTCAACTCTCGTCTCCACCCTCCACATGATGATAACCTGAACCCAAGAAGCTCCAGCTCAAGATGGAGCACCGGCTCAGCATCCCATGAGCCTGTAATGCACTGACTCAATTTCCCCCTCCCCTCTAGGCCCGATGACAGTTTGCTAGTAGTCTAGTGGGCTTAGAGACCAGAGCACAGGGCAAGACACAGAGAAATGAAGCAGGAAGGAAGGGGATTTTTTTTTCGCTTGTTCTATCTATGTATAATCATTCCCCACGGCTGGGGAAAACCTACTTTTGTTTCCCTTCTCCCTTGACAGTGTCTGTTCTTTTTCTTTTGCACTTCATATTGATCCCAGGTGGTCCTTTCTTTCTTTGCCTCCACTTTTGCTTCTTATCACCCCCTTCGTTTCGGGGTCTGTGTTATTTTTCTTTTCCCTGTCCCTTTCTCTGGGGATCTTGTCTCCATTTGCTTTTTGGATTGTGGTCTAGCCATTGGTCTGCAATTCTCTCATTCCTGTTCAGCTGTAGGACTAAGTGACTGGCTCACCGAAAGCTCAGCATTCCGTTCGTTGCCTGCCGACCTTTACAATTTGGCTCAAGTATTCGGGTTCCCGGCGACCGTTCATTCCTCTCACCTTTCAGGAAAGCAAGGCTTTGTTTCCTGTGCATCGTGGTCTGAGGGGTTGTTGTGCGTGACAAAGCGAGTCAAAGACGAAACGAGGAGAAAGCGAAGACAACGCCATTGTTGGTGATCTCCATATCCAGGTGGTTGTGAGGGATCCTGTTCACTGCCTCCTCGGTGCCATTTATCCACCATAAGATCTTGCAAACAACCTGATCTTGGTTGTTCTGTCCAGACTGACTGGTCAGAATACATTTGGCATCATATTTGTCCTCCTTCCCTCGTGGAAAATCCCTTCTACGCAGAGCCGGTCTCTCATAGAAGATATCTCTCGTTTTGGCCCACCGGCGACCTGTTGCTGAGCCCTTGCTCCCTGTCCTTTCACGTTCCCTCTTTTTTTTTCTCCCGTCCTTATAATCTCTTTTTTATTTTCACAATGCTATCCTTCGTTCTGTGTACGTCCCTGGTTGGACTTGTTTCTGCTGAAGAGCTAGAAAAGCGTGGTGGTGGCGGCGAGTTTTCGATGTATGAGATGCTCAATGATGACCTCGCCCGGCTGAGCTTGCTGGTGCTGGGTCTCATGGCGGCTGTTGTGTATGTGTGGAAGATGTGGCATCGACTCTCGAGTCATCTGCGACGACTGGCCAGCTTCAACAATGAGCGACAACTATACTTCGTGACACCGGACTCGATGCTATCGAAGATCAAAACGCACATCACCTATGCGCCCTTGTTCCGAGCCCGACACAATCGTGAATTCCAATTGTCCCGGGCCGTCAACATGGGTACATTGCCGAGTCGACTTCACTCGTTCCTGCTGGTTGGCATCGTCGCCATGAACGTCGTGCTCTGTGTGGTCACCGTGCCATATGGCACCACCGAGAGCACCGCCGCAGGCATCATCCGTAACCGCACCGGAACAATGGCCACTGTGAATATGATCCCATTGATCCTCATGGCTGGTCGAAACAACCCCTTGGTTACGCTGTTGCAGATTCCATTCGACACCTTCAATCTGCTTCACCGCTGGCTCGGCCGCATCGTGGTCCTGGAAGTCATCGCTCATATCGTGGCTTGGATGGTCCCCAAGGTTCAGACATGTAAGAAGCCGTTGGTCGGCCAGCTTTGTCGAAGTGATGCTAATGCTTTTTGCTAGCGGGCTGGGCCATGATTGGAGCAAGTCTTGGGGCAAGCAACTTCCTTCTTGTTGGTCTGATTGTGAGTGCCTGAGCCAGTTCCACGTGCGCCATAGAAGTTTTACTGACATTGAATCTAGTCGGGATGTGCTTTCCTAGCTCTCCTGCTGCATTCGCCTTCGCCCATTCGACACGCCTTCTACGAGACGTTCCTCCACCTTCACATTGCGCTCGCTGTGCTTGCGATCGCCTTCCTTTGGGTCCACCTCAATGGTATGGTTTCTCAGTACTACCTGATGGTCGGCATTATCTTTTGGGCGCTGGAGGTAGGTTCATCTAACACTCAAAATCGACGACGATTCAATGCTGACATGATCCTAGCGTGCTGCTCGGCTTGCGATTCTCGTGTACCGTAACTGTGGCCGTGAGTCTACCACGGCCCTTGTCGAAACCATGCCTGGCGATGCGATGCGGATCACCATCAAGATGGCCCGACCCTGGACCTTCAAGCCCGGTCAGCACATCTACCTGTACGTCCCTGCTGTGGGATGGTGGACGTGCCATCCGTTTTCGGTTGGATGGAGCGAAGAAGCCGAGTCTCTGTCGGACGAGAAGGGAATCCCCATGAACCGACAGGATATGTTGGGCCTGCAGAAGACGACCATTTCCTTGCTCGTACGTCGGCGAACCGGGTTCACCGACAAACTGTTTCAGCGGGCGCAGAACTCGCCTGGTGGGCGGGTGTCACTGCGGGCACTAGCGGAAGGACCGTATGGCAGCATCCACTCGATGGACTCTTACGGCACAGTGCTTCTCTTCGCCGGTGGTGTTGGTATCACCCATCAGGTGCCGTTTGTGCGCCATCTCGTCCAGGGATATGCCGAGGGTACCGTGGCAGCGCGTCGTGTGACTCTGGTTTGGATCATCCAATCTCCTGAGCACCTCGAGTGGATTCGTCCCTGGATGACTAGCATTCTGTCCATGGATCGTCGCCGGGAAGTGCTCCGCATCATGTTGTTTATCACCCGGCCGCGCAATACCAAGGAGATCCAAAGTCCCAGTGCGACCGTGCAGATGTTCCCCGGCCGACCCAACATCGATACCCTGGTGGGCATGGAGGTCGAGAACCAGATCGGAGCGATGGGCGTGCTCGTCTGCGGCAACGGTGGTCTGAGCGATGATGTGCGACGAGTATGCCGCAATCGACAGGATCGCACGCAGGTCGATTTTATCGAGGAGAGCTTCACCTGGTGAGCTCTGTCTGAGGCGGGTACGACTCTCTTATATACAAGGCATTCAACAATTTGGCCCCCAAGCCCACCTCCCCATGACTACGGATGCTCGCATCTGATTTGTCACGAGGGCCTGGGTACGAATATTTACATTTTTGTTTCAAACGAGCCTGTGGTGTTGTCGACCGCCTTTTCCCTTGTGTGCGTGCATCGATTTCTGCCGGCAACCTTGACTCTTTTGGTCTCAGAGGGTATATACTAGTTTTGTTGTGTTCTTATGTTCGATCTGGCCGTGTGCTTGCCTCAAACACTCCGGCTGCGTATATACTTGATTATATCACTTATCAATTTAAATTTTTAGCCTTTGCAATTAGAATTGCCCGACGTTAAAGATCGAAGATCGTTGACGTAGAGATGACTAGTACTAGTACCGGTAACTAACTTACCAGTAGTTAACTAGCACTGGTTACCAGCAGACTGCAGTAGGTTCAAGGTTTTGTGGCATGTTGCAGGCAGGTCTCGGGATTCGGATCGGGATTCACATCGACCGAGGTCGACCAGGATCAGGTCTTGATTCGAGTCGATTCTGGAGACAGTCGACTGCATATTCGAACAAGACAGGCTTACAAGAAAATGGTCATGTCCGAATGCCCAGTTCCGTGAACCGGCAGATGGGCAGTTACTGCACGTGACTGGTGGGCATAAGCTGGATGCCCTCGAATTGGGCATCTTCTGGATCTATGCAGCCAATAAGAATAGCTTTCTATACTTGAATGTTGTTGTAGCACTGTACCGTAGGTAAGGTATAAGTACAGTACCGTCAGTACTACCGTGAATGCCTCTATCTACCCGTCGAACTGTCTGCCCAGTAAGTGGGCAGGTCGGACCGGTTCTTGACCTGGACGCTAAGTGATTCGGGCAAGTAATCCTCTTCAAGGTTCCAACACCAGAGAACTGGGTAACCTTTACAATCGGGCATAACTAATGAGTTCTGCTGAGGGCATCTACCGGTGTATCTCACGTTGCGACGGAGGGGTTTGTTGACCAGCTCTGACCAGCTCGGCTTAGAAATCAAGGAGTGGGGCAAGTCGAGCGGAAAGTCTCCCTCATTTGCTTGCTTGTGGTATGGAGCAATTACGGATAGAATGATCACCAATCCAGTCTGTGACAAATGCCCGCGTCCCCGAGTCCGATACCACCGTATTCCATTTGTAATCCTTCCATTGCTGGCAGCTGTTCGCAGCGGCTGGTTTCTGGTATGATCGTATCGGGATCAATGGGACGGGCAGTTGGCAGGTTTGCCCCACGCTTACCAGGAAAGATACGTTACTTTAATCGGGAAAGATGGCGTAGAGATGCACCAGTGGCATCATCATCCCCTCCTCCTTTACCTAGGGTACCTAATTATCAATTCCACTGCCCGCCATGAGTGGGCTGTTCTATAAAGTCCCTCGGTTCTCCTCCAACGTCTTAGCTCGGTGCTCCTATCGACCTACTACCTTCACTTCTAAGACCTTTCTCTCTGCCCAGTTGTTTCGTTCGTCTGCTACCGCCAAGATGAGCTCCCCCGATATCACTTTGTATACCGCTCAGACTCCCAATGGAATCAAGATCTCCATTGCATTGGAGGAGCTGGGGTATGTTTTCTGTTTCCGTCAAGTCCATCAGAATCACAAGCTAATGAATGGTAGCCTGCCCTACAAGGTCGAAAAGATCGATATCTCCAAGAACACCCAGAAGGAGCCGTAAGTTCTGAGCCCGTCCCCTCTCTCTCACCTTCTACCGCCCTTCTTCCCCCTCCCAAATCAAAAGAACCTACCACTAACCAGACACAAAGATGGTTCCTCGAAATCAACCCGAACGGCCGCATCCCCGCCCTGACGGACACCTTCACCGACGGCCAGAAGATCTCCCTCTTCGAGTCCGGCGGCATTCTGCTGTATCTGGCCGAGCAGTACGACAAGGACTACAAGATCAGCTACCCGCGGGGCACGCGCGAGTGGTACGAGATGAACAACTGGCTGTTCTTCCAGAACGCCGGCGTCGGCCCCATGCAGGGCCAGGCCAACCACTTCGTGCGCTACGCCTCCGAGCACGTCCCCTACGGCATCAACCGCTACGTCAACGAGACCCGCCGCCTGTACGGCGTGCTGGACAAGCGGCTCAGCGAGAGTCAATCCGGGTTCCTGGTCGGGGATCACATCTCGTTGGCTGATATCTCGCACTGGGGGTGGGTGACGTGCGCGGGCTGGTCGGGCGTCGATATCGAGGAATTCCCCCATCTTAAGGCCTGGGAGGAGCGCTTGTTGAAGCGCGAGGGTGTGGAGAAGGGTCGCCATGTGCCTTCGCCGCACACTATCAAGGAGATGATCAAGGACAAGGAGGCGGCCGAGAAAAGTATGCGCGAGACGAGGGAGTGGGTGTTGAAGGGCATGCAGGATGATGCGGCTAAGAAATAGGTTTTCCTTGGGTCTGGTTTGGGGGGTTAGGGGATTAGTGGACTTTGGGAGGGTGGGGGGATCTCTGTAATAATGAATCAATCATGACTCTATTTTAATTCTCATTTTCTGGCTCCTCGAGATTATGGTGAAAAGTGAATGGAATATTGATGTTTAAAAAGTGAGCGAGGCAAAGAAGTAATTGCAGTAAGTTACTGACGGTAAGTCAGCTCACCTGCTGAAGCAGGCCGCGGCGGGCTTAGTCACGCAACCACGTGAAGAAAGCTTTTGCCACTCTCCCCCCGGAGGGCCCTGTTTTCTGGCCTTTGTAGTTGATTCGATCCCTCCCCTCCATCTATCTCACAGAACGCAAGATCCGCAAGGACACGATCCTGCACGGGAAATTTCACTGACCAGGTTTTGAACTGACTGACAGTGACATGGCTTGGCGCAACCAGGGAGTCACCGGCTCCAACAACGTCCCCTTGGGTCGGAGAAGGTTCGGCGGCGATGAGGCCCCAGAGGACGAGAGTCGCACCGCGACCCCGGCCTCTGCGGCTGGGGATAGCGCCTACAAGCGCGGTCGCAGCCCTGTTCGTGGTGAGTTACCCTTCCATCCACATTACATCAAGGTAAAAATACTGACGTCTCTAGCTGATCCTCCCGCGGACGGTGTCAAGAAGCGCAAGAAGCGCAACCGTTGGGGTGATGCGCAGGAGAACAAGGCTGCCGGTCTCATGGGCCTGCCCACCATGATCATGGCCAACTTCACCAACGAACAGCTGGAGGCGTATACGCTACATCTGCGTATCGAGGAGATCAGCCAGAAGCTGCGGATCAACGATGTGGTTCCAGCCGACGGTGACAGGTTTGTCGAACTTCCACCCATCCTCTCCTTCTCAATGCTACTGGAGAGACTAAACGTTGTGATACTCTTATAGGTCTCCCTCGCCTCCTCCCCAGTACGATAACTTTGGCAGACGTGTAAACACAAGGGAATACCGCTATCGGAAGCGTCTCGAGGATGAGCGCCACAAGCTCGTCGAGAAGGCGATGAAGACCATTCCTAACTACCACCCGCCCTCTGACTACAGACGTCCCACTAAGACCCAGGAGAAGGTCTACGTGCCAGTGAATGACTATCCAGAGATTAACTTCAGTATGATAACTAACCCTCTAACTCCTAACCGTTGCGTTGTGCTCTGTATTCCTACTTGAACCTCTGTGCTCGAGTCGGGCTTCTGATGACGACGTCGCCGCCGCGCGATGGGATTCTCTCCAGCTCGCTTCTTGCTAACCCTTGCTGCTTGATGTTGCACTCTTCTTTGCTCTTTCACCCTCAAAACAAAAACAGCTTGAACTAACACCTAGGCTTTCCGCTATCTTTTTAAAGTTGGCTTACTCATAGGTCCTCGTGGTAATACCTTGAAGAAGATGGAGACCGAGTCCGGCGCAAAGATTGCGATCCGTGGCAAGGGTTCCGTCAAGGAAGGAAAGGGTCGCTCTGACGCCGCTCATGCCAGCAACCAGGAAGAGGATCTCCACTGTCTGATCATGGCAGATACCGAGGAGAAAGTTAACAAGGCGAAGAAGCTGGTGCACAATGTCATTGAGACGGTAAGTTATTCCTTTGCTGTTGGTTCGTTCAAGACACCGTGCTCATGGTACATTAGGCTGCCTCCATTCCCGAAGGCCAGAACGAGCTCAAGCGCAACCAGCTTCGAGAACTCGCCGCCCTCAACGGTACTCTCCGTGACGATGAAAACCAGGCTTGCCAGAACTGTAAGTTTCCTCCCAATCATCCTTGGTCCCTCCTTCTGACACAGACAGGTGGTCAAATCGGACACCGCAAGTACGACTGCCCTGAGCAGCGCAATTTCACCGCCAACATTATCTGTCGCGTGTGTGGTAACGCAGGCCACATGGCTCGCGATTGTCCTGACCGCCAGAGAGGCTCCGACTGGCGCAACGGCGGTGGCTATGGCGGCGGCGGCGGCGGCGGTCGCAGAGCTATTGGTGGCGGCGACGCCGTCGACCGGGAGATGGAGGTAAGATTTCGTTCCTGTGTTGTGATTGATCGTTACTAAACTGTGACCAGCAACTTATGCAAGAGCTGTCTGGCGGCGCTCCTGGAGAGAACGGCCACGTACCCCGTCGCATCGAGGCTGGACCCGATCAGGGCTACGATGACCGTGATGCGAAGCCGTGGCAGCGTGGCCCTCCTGCCAGCGATGTGGCTCCTTGGCAGCAGCGCGGCCGCGACCGTCGCGACGACTATGGACCTCGCGACCACGGCAGTGCGCCTCCCTGGGCTTCTCAAGGTCGTGGCGGCCACGGCGGTCACGGTGGCCATGGCGGCGATTACGGCTATGGCTCGCAGGGTGGCTACGGTGCCCCTGGAGCTCCGGCCCCATGGCAACAAGCGCAGGCTGCCCCTCCTCCGCCCCCGGGTGGACAGGCATCGTATGGCTACGGAGGCTATCCCTCTTACCCTGGCATGGGAGCGCCCGGTGCTCCTCCTGGCTTGAGTGTGCCGCCTCCACCCCCGGGCATGCCCTCGATGTATCCTGGCAACAGTGGCAGCCCTCCCCCACCCCCTCCTGGCGAGGGACCGCCTCCTCCGGTATGTTTGCTTAACCGAGGTTGTAGGACACTTAACTAACCTGATACAGCCCCCGAGCGAGCAGCCTCCTCCCCCTCCCCCACCTGCTTAGGGCACTTGCAGAACCTGCAGGACCTTCAGCTCATGACGACAAAAGCCTACTGAATTCAGCTGCTGAAATGAACCATGAGAGTTGCTTTGATTTGGGATGAAATTCGACAGGATTCCGCAGGATAGTAGGGCGGCATACGTGGCGGGCGAGTCTGGATTCAACTGGACAGCGTCCGGCCTGCTGCTTTTATTCGTAGTCCATCAAGTGTACTAGCTAATCAATATTGTTCCTTTGTGTTTGATCCTCAAATCTCTGGTTGTGGAGAATCTAGACAGGCGAGGTGCCGAAGAGCAAAAGCCGGAGTGACGTTTATGGGGCCGGCCCCGTTATTGATGCCTAAGGCGGAGGAGACCTTTCTCCGCAATTTCGTGGAGAAGCTCAAATCGATCAATTTTTCTCCTTCAAGGTTGAAAGCAGTCCTCCAGATCGGAGAAGTAATCATGATTCATCAAGTCAAGTAGAGCATTAATTCTCATATCCCCTTTCCAGCCTTCCAGTCTTCCAGAGTTCAGGCTTCTTGGCCCTTTTTGTTTTTTTTTGTTTTTTTGGGATCACCAAAGTTTGATCCCCCAAGAAAAAGATAGGAGGGACCCGCCTCTTCTTCGTCTTCATCATCATACACCGCAGCCGCCGCAATGACAGGCGGGACCAACACCCACGGGGACCAACCCAGGAGAAGCTTTGGGGATGGAGGAGGAGGATACCAACCTCAATCCTCCTCCCCATCTCTATCCCCAAACCTCCACTCCCATCGCAAACCATGGCAATCGCAACCGCAGTCGCAGTCTCAATCCCGATCCCGACGCAGCTCTTCCCTCCGATCTGGGGGTGAAAGACATCCACAGCAGCAGCAGCATCGCTCCGACCCCGGGGCAAGACACGACCCCCCCTCCACTTTAGCATCAGCATCATCATCATCCAAATGGTACCGCGTCCGCTTGTTCCGGGGCATGGTCAAGGACGTCAAGCGCCGGGCGCCGTATTATTGGAGTGATTGGACGGATGCGTGGGATTATCGCGTCGTGCCGGCGACGGTTTATATGTATTTCGCTAAGTATGTTCTCCTTTTTTTGGTTGGGATTTGGGTATGGAGTTGGGGAGGTGAGCTTCGGGTTGGGTTTGGGATGGGTGTTGAGGATGATCAGGCTTTGGCTGAAAACTGACCCCCGTCGCATTTAGTATCCTCCCTGCGTTGGCGTTCTCCCTCGACATGTTCGAGAAGACCAACCAGAGCTATGGCGTGAATGAGGTGCTGTTGGCCTCGGTGCTCGGGGCGGTGGTTTTCTCGGTCTTCGCGGCGCAGCCGTTGGTTATTGTTGGGGTTACTGGTTCGTATTGTCTTCCTTTTTTTTATCTCGGGGGGTGTAGTGGGAGTAGTAGGGTGAAGGGGGGATTTATTGAATCTTCTTGATAATTTGCGCAGTGCTAATCTGTAGTAGGTCCTATTACGGTATTCAATTATACTGTTTATGATATCATCGCTTCGAGAGGCACGAATTATCTGGCGTTTATGTGCTGGATTGGCATGTAAGTCTCGCCCTATTCTCATGCTCTTTCTTGTAGTTGGGGCAGAGTAAGGCACCGTACTGACCAGTCAGATGGTCGTTGATCATGCATTGGTTGCTGGCCATCACCAACGCCTGCAATGGGCTGACCTACGTGACGCGCTTCTCGTGCGACATCTTCGGCTTCTACGTCGCGTTCATCTACCTGCAGAAGGGCATCCAGGTCCTGACCCGACAATGGGGCTCCGCGGGCGAGACCTCCGCCTACCTGAGTATCATGGTCGCCTTGCTGGTGCTGATGGCGGGCTGGATCTGTGGCGAGCTGGGCAATAGCAGCCTCTTCCAGAGATTCGTGCGCAAGTTCCTGGAGGACTACGGCACTCCGTTGACTATTGTCTTCTTCACGGGCTTCGTGCACATCGGCCATATGAGGGACGTCGAGGTGGCCACTCTGCCGACCAGCAAGGCCTTCTTCCCCACCGCGGATCGAGGCTGGTTGGTCCATTTCTGGGACATCAGCGTCGGGGATGTGTTCCTGGCGATCCCGTTTGCCATCCTCCTGACGATCCTGTTCTATTTTGACCACAACGGTGAGTACGCTCCCCCAAAATTGCGGTAGGCTAGACGTGGCTGACCACTCGACCAGTGTCCTCACTGATCGCCCAGGGAACCGAGTTCCCGCTTCGTAAACCCGCCGGGTTCCACTGGGACCTGTGGCTCCTGGGCCTCACCACCTTCGTGGCCGGTCTGCTAGGCATCCCCTTTCCCAACGGGCTGATCCCCCAGGCGCCCTTCCACACGGCCGCCCTCTGCGTGACGCGCGACGTTGCCGACGAAGACGACACCAACAAGGGCAAGGCCATCCGCATCACCGACCACGTCGTCGAGCAGCGCGTCAGCAACCTCGCCCAGGGCCTGCTCACCCTCGGCACGATGACCGGCCCGCTCCTCATCGTCGTCCACCTGATCCCGCAGGGCGTCCTCGCGGGCCTCTTCTTCATCATGGGCGTCCAGGCGCTCCAGGGCAACGGCATCACGCAGAAGCTCGTCTTCCTCGCCCAGGACCGCCGCCTCACCCCGGCCGCCAACCCGCTCAAGCGGCTCAAGCGCCGTCCCGCCATCTGGGCCTTTGTCATCGCCGAGCTGATCGGCTTCGGCGCCACTTTTGCCATCACGCAGACCATCGCGGCCATTGGCTTCCCGGTCATCATCCTGCTGCTGATCCCCGTCCGCTCGTTCCTGTTCCCGCGGTGGTTCACCGCGGAGGAGCTAGGGGTCCTCGATGGGCCGGCGGCGAGTCCGTTCACGATGGAGAGCGTGGGCGGGACGCACGGTTTGGATGATTCGTTTGGGGGCGAGGGGGCATTGGCGGGACACGACGGTGGGCGGAGCAACTCGAAGGCCCGCGGTGGTGAGGACAATGGTGTCTTTGCGAATCGGGACGAGAGTTCGTCGGAGTCCGTGGTGGGTGATGATCTGGAGAGGGGGGAGGTGTTTGAGATGCAGAGGTCGGCGGTGCGGCGGAGGAGTACCACGGGCGTGAAGGATTGATGTTTTTATGTGTATGCTTTGGGATGGCCAGAAGCTGCTCTGGTTGTTGTTCGAGTGGATGCTGGCTTGGGATAGATGTGTGTGAATGACTTCCGTGACGGAATTCTAGAGTCTAGATTCAACCCAGTTATATATAATTCTTGATCACCGCCCGATTGTATGTTGGTCAATGGTTTCTTAGAGGTCTTTCCACGTGAAAAGTGGCCAAGGTCGTATCAACTTGAGCGAGCCCACACATTGCAAAGCACGGTAGCTAGGCCAATCGAACTGAGTGAGGGCTATAGCAGAGTAAATATAGCTCGTATTGCTAACTACCGCTGACATGCAACCCCATCTGACCCACACAAGCAGTTAGTTCCCACAAGGAACTAAAACCACAGATATCAGGATATGAGATGCCTCAGGGGGTTGAGGTTTTGAAGATATTAAGTCATGTCACCAGAACAGCAACTACCGACCCCCAAAGGACCGTACTAGAGGCGCATGAAAGCTGCTTAGCCTAACACATCCATATTTTCATAACATGAAAATAACAAAAAGAAGGTCCAATACAAGATTGGATGGTGTCAAGGCCCGAGCCGCGGATCGAACGCGGGACCTCTCGCAGATATGCTTGGGTTTGTATCCCTAAGCGAGAATCATACCACTAGACCACCCGGGCTTGATATATTATCTGCCTGCTTTTATGATATTATCATCCATATTGTATGCAAGAACTAGCTTTGCACCGTGCAAAATAGAGTTCATCAAGATCAAAAACCTCGCACTAACCGAACACAGTTAGCTAGACAAACACACCGCCCACTGCGGTCAGCCTTTCTGCCGTCATATCAACCAAAAAAAAAGTCGAGCGCATGCTTCACATTCAATCTAACACGCCAAAAACCAAAATGGCGCCCTCACAGTCCCCTGAACCTATCCCGGACGAGTCCGAGTCTGCCTCGCACCACTCCGCATCTGACTCCGAGATGGAGTCCGAGTCCTCGTCCGACGAAGGCGGCGTCACCCTCGACGCCGATCAAAAGCAGCAACAGCAGCGCGCCCCCAAGAGAAGACGTCTCTCGAACTCCTCGACCGACTCCTACATCGCCGCCCCGCCGCCGGCACCCTTGCCCACACTCTCCCGCATCAAGCGCAAGGAGGATGTCGCCAGGGAGGCCGCCGCCAACAAGGCCGCGGCGGACGCGAACCCGGTGCTCATCAAGGATGCGCTGGCGGCAGGGCTCGAGGATGCGCGGTCCTCGTTCACCGACCTGAAGGTGGCGCCGTGGCTGGTGGGCTCGCTGACGACGATGGCAGTGCGCCGGCCCACGGCGATTCAGAAGGCGTGTATCCCCGAGATCCTGGCGGGGCGGGATTGTATTGGAGGCAGCCGCACGGGTTCCGGTAAGACGATTGCGTTTGCGGTGCCGATGCTGCAGAAGTGGGCGGAGGATCCGTTTGGGATCTTTGGGTTGGTACTTACGCCGACGAGGTGGGTTTTTCCCTTTTCTCTTACAATAAAAAGAAAGACAGAAGAAAGAAGCACGGAAAGACGGACCGACAGAGAGAAACGCGATGCTAACTTTTTGAGGGCAGAGAACTGGCCCTCCAAATCTACGAGCAAATCAAAGCCCTCTCCGCGCCGCAGAGCATGAAACCCCTCCTCATCACCGGCGGCACCGACATGCGCTCACAGGCGCTGGCCCTGTCGCAGCGCCCCCACGTGGTCATCGCCACCCCCGGCCGGCTGGCAGACCACATCCACACCTCGGGCGCGGACACCATCCGCGGCCTGTCGCGGGTCCGCATGGTCATCTTGGACGAAGCTGATCGCCTCCTGTCCCCCGGGCAAGGGTCCATGCTCCCGGACGTGGAGACCTGCCTCAGCGCGGTGCCATCGGCCGCCGACCGGCAAACGCTGCTGTTCACCGCAACCCTGACCCCGGAAGTCCGGGCCCTTCAATCCATGTCTTCATCATCCTCATCATCAGCGAAACCCCCCATCTTCGTCACCGAAATCACCTCCGCCAACAAGTCCACCATCCCGCCGACCCTCCACCAGACCTACCTCCAAGTCCCGCTGACCCACCGCGAAGCCTTCCTGCATGTCCTCCTCAGCACCGACGCCAACGCGACCAAACCCGCCATCATTTTCACGAACACCACCGCCACCGCCGACCTGCTGGAGCGCATGCTCCGCCGCCTGGGCCACCGCACCACCTCCCTGCACAGCCGGCTCCCGCAGAGCGAGCGCAACGCCAACCTCGCGCGGTTCCGCGCCGCCGCCGCGCGCATCCTCGTCGCCACGGACGTCGCCTCCCGTGGATTGGATATCCCCTCGGTGGAGATGGTGGTCAACTACGACGTGCCCCGGAATCCGGATGACTATGTGCATCGTGTCGGTCGTACGGCCCGTGCGGGCCGCAAGGGTGAGAGTGTCACGCTCGTCGGGCAGAGGGATGTGGCACTTGTGCTTGCCATTGAGGAGCGGGTGGGGAGGAAGATGGTCGAGTGGGAGGAGGAGGGCGTGAGTGTGGAGACGAGGGTGGTTAGGGATGGGGTGTTGAAGGTCGTCGGCGAGGCGAAGCGCGAGGCTGCGGGCGAGATGGATGAGGGGAGGGATGTGTTGGGGAGGAGGAGGGTCAAGTTGAAGAAGGTGAGGTAGTGGAGGGGGGTGCTTCCTGGAGGTCGTTGCGATCGAGATATGGGATTGTACTGTACATAGGGTGATGAGCTGGGTCTTATGGTATCTATGGCATTGTTTTAGGTTGAGTTGGCTAGAATCAGTAGATGGGATTGGCTCATGTTGGGCTGATTGCGTATAACTCGATAGAGCGAAGCGAAACTGGTTGTGCACAGTCCGACTGCCTACGGTGTCTGAAGACGCGGTCTCTTCTGACCACACATCCTCATCCTCCGAGCATTATCTAAGACTTTTTTCAAGGAGGCTCCTTGGAAACCATGCATGTAATCCCGCATTATGCAGCAGACTACTAGTAGCGATACTATGGAGAGTCCTGCCATGCTTCCGAGGCCATTGGCCCTAGTGTGTAGTACGCAGACATGGTACAGTACACGAGTAGCTCTAGGGGGACTATCCTGGCTAGCTCTCATGGGATTGACTCGCTCAGCGGACAAATCTGACGGCCACAGTTCGCGTGGCATGGTCAAGAGAAAGAAAACATATTCTCTGTAGATCTAGTCTTGATCGCTGGTTACCAAGTATAAAGATCAGACCGCGGGGCTAGACGGGACTCAAGACGCCTAATGTTTCTGGGGAATGTCGGGCCTTGGAGAGTATGTCGACTACCAAGGTTACTGAGTTGCAGGCTGCAGTATGGACGAAGATGCGCTGCACGACTATGCAAAGACCAAGGTCCTTCGACGCGCGCTGAGGGCGATCTCCAACGCGATCAAGCAACATCAATCGTATATTGTCTAAAGAAACGATTGACGATTAAAGAAAAAGTCATACTCAACAAGTTAGCAATTACCCCATTGTCAATGACCCCAATGTCAAGTGGACACCCACCAACCTCCTTCTCGACGCGTGGGACACGCTACTAAAGAGGGTTTACTGTTAGTTGAAGTTGGGTTTGGTTTAGTTTAGTTTGGCCGGCAAGGAGACGAGCGAGCGAGACCCGGACGCCGACGCGGATGACCACACGCGCGCCGAGCCCACCTCCAACCTACCTTACTCTCCGGACATCCTCTTTCTCCTCCTCCCCCTCAAAGGCCATTGACTCTTCTGACCGAGTCCAGTCTCCTTGTCTTGAATACTCTCCTTGCTTCCCATTCCTCTGGGAACCCGGTTCGTCTTAAACAGAAGTTTGGGTGTACTGTACTGTACAAGTTCCAGCACGTGTTGGTAGTTCTCGCTCTCCTGGTCCGGAACTACTTTAACGGAACTACTACTGGAGTACAACACGTCCACCACACACAAACACCTGCTCTTCTTGCTTTTTGTTTTTTTTTTCCTATCCCCTCTTGTGGTTCTCCTCTAGTACTTCTATCAGGAGTACCCTCCCTCTCTCTCTCTCTCCCTCTCCACCCCACTCACCATGCATTCCACCGTATCAGCACATACCAGCCCTGTCAAGGACGGCAGGCGGATTCTCGGCGAGAAGACCGTCAACGCGTGCCTGTCCCCCGCCCGCCATCGCCACGCCTCCTCCCTCTCGCCGGTGAAACGTCCATTCCTGGAGACATCCTCGCTCACCTCTCCGTCGAAAAAGCTTCTCCCGTCGCCGTTGTTTGCCGGTCAGAAACGCACCATTGACCAAGTCGAGGGCCATCGCGAGCATGAGAGCAGTGTCCGCGAGCGCGCGCCGAGCCAGGCACCGGCACCGGCACCAGCAGCAGCAGTCTCAACCCACGTGCAAGTTGAGTCGGCTACAAAGTCCCCAGTAGTTGCAGCAGATGAACATGTAAGTAAACGCCATAAGCCTCTTTTTGAAATTCATGTATAGGTTACTAACATCCAGTCGCGTGCTCAGATCCTATCCGACGCGACACAACAACCCAATATTCCTGATCTAGAAACACAACAACAACAACAACAAAAACAAAACGAAGTAGAACCACAACAGCAGCAACAACAACAACAACTACCACCCCGGCCTCAACCCAGCGAACTTCCAGCACAAACCCAACCCACCTCCACGCGAGCAGTCCTCTCCGACCCAGCCACGCGCAAACGCTTTATTCAAGAGGTACGTCCCCCACCCCAAATCCCATATAAACGTGCCAACTAACCCCCAAAACAGAAAGCAACCCTCCTCCGCACCCGTCTCCAGACGGCCATGCGTCACGTCCGCGACCCGCAATTCGACCGCCGCCTCTCCGAGCTCGAAGCCCACAGCCAAAAATGTCCCCGACTGACCGCCGCCGTCGTTCTCGAAACAAGCGGATCCCAAACCCCCACGCCGAAAGACACAACACGTATGGCGGCTGCTGTAGCAGCTGCTGCAGCTGATCCCAAGACCCCGGTCCCGTTCGTCACTACCTCCAGCCCGTCGAATCTGCAACAACCCGAGCACAACACATCACCTGACAACGACAACAACAACAACAACAACCAGGCGTCGGGGCTATCGTCGCCACCGCTCTCGACGGGGAATGACGCTGCGTCTGCGCGGGAGGAGGAGGAGGAGGATGATCCGATGAAGACCC